TTGAAATATATGTACCAGGTACATATGACATATTTAATTCCTGTGGGTACCACTAGAATGAAGATCACGCACCACTAGTGGTACACGTACCAAAGTTTGAGAACCACTGCTTTGTGGCATAGACTCAACAAAGTACTGAAAATATTCCTCAGAGATTGTGGTCCATATTGACATGATAGCATCACGCAGTTGCTGCAGATTATTTTGCTGCACATCCATGATGTAAATCTCCCATTCCCCCACACACCTGAGGTGATTTGGGTTTTATGACATGGCACATTATCCTGCTGGAAGTAGCCATTAGATAATGGGTACACTGTGGTCATAAAGGGATGGATATGGTCAGCAACAATAGGGTGTGGCACCAGCCCGTATGGCACCAACAACCATGCCACGTTCAAAGTCACTTAAAACACCTTTCTTCCCCATTCTGATGCTCGGTTTGAACTGCAGCACATCGTCTTGAACATGTCTACATGCTAAATGCATTGATTTGCTGCCATATGGTTGGCTGATTAGAAATTTGCGTTAACGAGAAGTTGGACAGTTGTACCTAATAAAGTGGCCGGTGAGTGTATATGAGAAACTAAACATTGTTATTTTAAATTTAATTTCAATTTGTGTACCCGAAGGCTGCTAGACTTCCAGAAAACCATAAAGTACTGAAAATTTAATTTGTGTCTTTGCTTTTCTGTATTTATAAATGCTTGTTATTGGTTTCTTGTAATTTTTCAGATGCCTATACAAAAAATCTAAAATTATTCACTCTTTCCAAACATAACTATTAGTTTTGTCTGGCAAAATTATACTCAATTTAATACAATTTAATAAAAATAAAATATCGTATTTTTTTTTTTCCAATATTGCGCAACCCTATTGTTTAGGAATATGTTAGACTGCATTGAATTGGACAGTGTTGGATTATGAAGTATTTGGTAAATTAAATTGTACTTAGGGTTTGTATAGTTGCCTGTACAAATTTTTTGATTTTGCCATCTGCCATATACACTGTATGCACATGTACTTATCATAAACAACAAGCATGCTCAAACATAGACGAAAATGAGGTTGCCCTTCGAACAAACAACATTTATTTACTGTAACATACAGATGTGCTGCTCTGTATATTATTTTACTTATATTTTAGGAATTCAATTTATAATATCGACTTCATACTTTGTTGGTCCTACATTGTCTGTTGATTCAGTTGTGTATACAGTATGTCTTTATTGGGTGACACTGGATAAGCCAATGCTGAAGTTCAATGTACAATCTTGAACAGCCCCAGTTTAATGATCATAAAGCAAGGCAAGATCATAACATATAATCTATTTTTCAGAGGCATGTTTGATTCATTGATTTTTAAGGCTGATTTTGACTGGAGTTTCTTATACCACACTCTTAGGCAGGGGTGCCCAAACTTTTTCTTATGAACGGGAAAAAAAAACCAAACTTTATTGAGGCTATAGTTGCCCGAAGGTAAATATTATTGCCATGGGTAATTTCTTTATTTATTTACTAATATTTTAAAATAACTAGTAAACATGGCTTTACATTAACTAATACATATATTGTACATTACATTTTATGATGAACTGTTTAACTCATTTATAACAGTTTTTCCCATGATTTACTCACTGATGTCTTCGTCATAATGCTCTATCCATCAAGTGACGGTATTTACATTTTAAAAACTCAGATTAATTTACAACATTTAATTTCAGTTTGCTTTTTTGTAGCTCTGAGGATGTCTGCTAAAAGGATTCTCCTCAACTTTCTCCATCATTCTCACTCTCTTCTCATGGGACGGTGGGCCAAATCAAAGGTTACAATTGGGCCAACTTTGGTCCACAGGGCCTACTTTGGGCATCTTTGCTCTAAAGGTACAAATGTTGTTATTTGGATGGTACCTTTTCAAAAGTGTCCATATTAGTACCATACCGATACATATTAGTACCTAAATATATACTACTGTGCATTTTAAGTGCTAATATGTGGCTTTACGTTACCATTATGTAGCCTTTTGTTAAAAAAAATGTACATTATGATTAGGTACTGCCTCAGTGACAGCATTTGTTTCTGAGAAATGTAGTTGACTAGTCAATTAACATTTCTTTCTCAAACCAGGTCAACTTATGACTCAATTGACCATTTATTTAAAGGGCTATTTACTTAATTTCAGAATGAGTCAGTCAGTTGAAAGCATTGCATATTATAATCAATACAATTTAAATAAACTTACTCAATAAATAGTGTCCAATCAATCACATTGTTGCTTAATGTCATGACTGACCATTCAGAATAAAGCATAAAAAACAACAACTAAATAATAGGATATTGATTCACAATTAGAGGAAATCAATAAGTAAATAGTGTTTTGCCCATTGAATTGAAATGATCTCTCAGTCAAAGAAATCAGTAGTGCAGAACCAAGAGCTTTGCAAACGCCACCACACAGACTCCTGGAGCTGGATTGCTTTAGAGGAATAGGATTATAGTAAAGAGCGTGGCCTTAATAACATGCTCTTTTTACAGCCATGCCATATTTATGTTGCTCAAAGCTGCTTCATTAAAGGCCTGTGGTTCCTCTTCATGGTTGCCTGGTGGAATTATTTCACTTCCAGCAGCTATTTCTGTCATAGGTTTTGATAAGCATGATGATTATTTCACAGATTGAAAGGCTTTGTCAAACCAATTATTTAATGTGCCATTGTTTTTTATGTCCTGTTCTATGCTAGTTACAATAGCTGTGTTAGACTTTTAATTACTTTAATCTGACATGCCCTGATGCCTATTTCAATGTTACTGTATCTCACAATGTACTGTATCTTGTGTACACACTAGAGAAAGTTAAGACCGCTGCTTTATTTTGAACTAATCTTGAACATCTCACATTATATCTATACATTATAACATGTGTTACAATTTTTTATGACTTCTGTATGGTGTCAGCCCTTGACATGTTAATATCAATACTAATTAATGCATGTAAACACCCATCTGGGACTCACAAAATAAAACTGGAGCTATGTATAGGTTGTTAATGTGACGTTGCATTTTCATTGTCATATATGACAAAAATCTATATAATGAAAAACATCCATTCAAAGAGTTTTTTTTTTAAAGATACGTGGTTGCAAACATTTATTTATTTACAATGACATTTATTTGGGCTGAATTTAAACAAACAAATTAAGTTGTACATTATTAAATTTAATTAGTTTGTTTAAATATATCCCATTTAATTGTTTGAAACAATTTTAGAAATCATATTTTTCAGTGTACTGTAGAAATCTCCAAACTGTCCTATGGTGTGGCTGTTTCAAGCTTAGTTAAATAAATTACAGCTTTTATCATTTAAAAAGAAAATAAAAGAAGTATTATCAAATACTTCAGGCCCAATTTAATGAATATTTTAGTAAATGCAGCCATTAAAAACATAAGACCTTGACGTAAAAACCGACAGTAATTATTCTGGCGTTACTCTTTTATGTGGCAGTTGCTCATCCAGCCAGTGGGGGGGGGGTCCAGTTGAAGGACCCCATTTAAGATCATATCACTGAAGCCTCCAGTGAAAGCTCATGAAGTAGACCACCTAATGTCATGCTAAAATATCAAGTGTAACATTGTTTACAGCCATATCACTCTGCAGCCCAAAACCAGTTACTCTCTGAAGCTAAGCAGGGCTGAGCCTGGTCAATACCTGGATGGGTGACCATGTAGGAAAACTAGGTTGCTGTTGGAAGTGGTGTTAGTGAGGCTGGCAGGGGGTGCTCAACTTAAGGTCTGCGTGAGTCCTAATGCCCTAGTAAAGTGAAGGGGACACTATACTTTCAGTGAGCACCGTCTTTCAGATGAGACTATAATAGCGTTGTCATGATACTGGAACTCAATACCAATCAGTACTGAAATTGTAAAAACGTCAATTTCCCGTAAACATTTGAGCACTGTGCAGCACATTCTTAAACAGCGATGATTGACAGAAATGACTCTGATTGGCCGTGAAGGGGATCGGTTCACCGAACTCACCACTGTTTACTGAGTGTAACCACAGAGACAGGGACCCTGGAGCATTTTAAAGCAGCGATTCATCAGCGGATCGCTCATATGTCAGCTTATAGACAAACCAGCTCATCAACGTGACTTTGAAATGCCCCAGTGTCCCTGTATCTGTGATTACACTCAGCAAACAGCGGTGAGTTTGGTGAACTGATGAACTTTACGGCCAATCAAAGTCATTTCTGTTGAGCATATGAACACAATGGCAAATCGTCGCTCTTTAAGAACGTGCTCTACAAATCAATTCAATTGATAATGAATTCCAGTATTCTGACAACCCCAGACTGTAACTGAGGTCTTGACTCTCTGTGATCATTAAAAATCCCATGGCATTTAAAAGAGTAGGGGTGTAACCCCAGTGTCCTGGCCTAATTCACTCCATCAGCCCTTACTTATCATGGCCTTCCAATCATCGTATTGGCTCTATCATTGTCTTTTCATTTCACTGCTTTCGCGTCATCCAAGTGGATGCTGCTGACTAGTGGTGGTGGTGCGGAGGGACCCACACTCATTATTGTAAAGCGCTTTGGGTGTATAGCCATACAAAATAAAATGCCCTATATAAATACACATTACTTACTTACTATAGCCACAAATAGCCACAAAGTCAAACGTACAGTATCTCTCTTTGTGTTCAGCGTGTATATGACTCATTTATAATACAGTCATAAAAAAGTGATTTGTTTCAGTGGTTTTAAATGTAAGTACCCCAAATTGCAAGTGCAACCTATCATTTGAAACACTATTTTGTATAGAAAAGGGTGGATATAAAGCTGCAGAATGACATACGTTTACTTTTTTACTTTATTACACTCTGCCTTCAATCTTCGAACTTCAATCTGTCCTTAATAGAACTACTGTCTTTCTCAAATTGCGCAATGGAACAAATGATGACTGTACATTACACATTAACATACAATCTTCTCATTTGTTTATTCCAGGTAAGTGTGTTGACCACGTTGGAGCGGCGCTTCAATCTTCAGAGCGCTGATGTTGGTGTCATCGCAAGCAGCTTTGAGATCGGCAACCTGGCCCTCATTCTCTTCGTTAGTTATTTTGGTGCTAAAGCCCACCGTCCTCGTTTAATTGGCTGCGGAGGCATTGTCATGGCTTTGGGAGCCTTGCTTTCTGCATTACCAGAATTCCTCGCCAGTCAATACAAGATCACAGACACTTGGAGCAAAGATCAGGGCCGAGATGTTTGCTCCAACACCTCAAAAGCTGATGAACCATGTGGAAACAGAGCAAACACCAACATGATGTACCTGCTTCTGATTGGAGCACAGGTGTTGCTGGGAATCGGCGCGACACCCGTTCAGCCCCTGGGTGTTTCCTACATAGACGATCACGTGCGGAAGAAAGATTCTTCGCTCTATATCGGTATGTAAGAGATGGTTTCTAATTCATTTAGCAGCAATGCGGTGACTTTTTTACTGTCTCATTCTGTTTGTTGTAGGAATGTCCTAATACAACATTTTAACTTCCAATATAATACAGATATTGCAGCCTTCAGTACTAACCGATACAAATCCGATACAATAATCAGCACAAATCATGAATACTTTACTTTTACCTATTTCGTTGAGTGGAATGTATGAACGGCTAGATCAAACCAAGAACAAAAGTCAGCAACAGTCAGTAAAGAAAACAACGACCAATGTATTTACTATTAGTTGCATAAATGTGAACCTTTTACATAAGGATATATAAAAAAAGAATTAAAGAATAAATATTAAGACCCTGAAAAATAATTAAATTTTTTTACATTTTTAAAGTGCAAAATACTAATTAAAGGTCACTTCAGTTATTTATTTTTTACCATCAGCAAATGGTAAAAACAGCTGAGAGCAGGAACATAAGAAAAAAACATTGTTAACTGACTAACTGCTAAAGGTTGAGTGTTCAAAGTTTCAATTTCACACACAGCTTCTTGATGAATTTTTGCTCAAGTTTCAAGCTGAAAAATATCTTTCACACTGGGCAGCAGAAATAGGGAGTTATTGTTATAAGTTATTGTTAAATTAATAAAAATGTGCAGGATGGTTAGTACACATTTATATGATCAGATCTGTTTAATCGTTGTTTGTATCATTTAAGATTATGGCTGTATCAATGTTCCCAAACAAAACATTATTATTTTATAATAATATGTATTGCACATATTATCTTTAACATAAATAAACTTGCTGTAGATGGATTGAAACACCTGTTCTCCACAGCACATTAAATAATGTGACTTTTAAGAATAATTTTATTTATCAAATTTACTTTATTTGCATAATATATTGCACTGATTCAGCCCTACTGCCCACATGGGAAAAGTACGACAATGTAAAGAAAGACAGAACTGCAAACTCATGTGCAAAGCTGACACTGTTTATCAGAGCACTTTCTCTTTCTGGGCTTTTTAAAGAAGAGTTAAATATGGGAATGCCTCTAATACCATTCTTTAAAATAAAGAAATAGGATCTTTATTTTAAACTGTAATGGCTCTCAGCAACAGAATGATTTCCTACTATCCATGTGCACCACTGACAGGTCAAATCTGCTCTCTCTCTCTCTCTCTCTCTTTCTCTCTCTCTCTCCCTCTTTAGTCTTGGTGCTGCTGAGAGATTGAGATGCACCGACCAAAGTTTGCGTGTAAAGAAATGCAAAAACGCAGCTACAGAAAATGAAAGCAGAATCCGGGACATGTTAGGCGATTTAGAAATCTTGGCTAAATGCATTTTTAAGTCCCAAATAGAGGACATGTCCGGAAAAAAAAGAGGATGTATTGTCACCCTAAATAATGTGCTGGATCAGTCTATTTAGTAAAAGGCTTTTCTTTTCCGTGTGTCCTCGCGCTCTTCTCAAAGCTACTACCAAAGTCAGAACAGATGTCCAGCGCGTATCTGTGGGTCTGCAGCAGCAGAACATGAAGACTGTGCCGGAGTATTTGCCGTCATTCGGTGCCTTGCGTTGCTTAACAGCGTATACAAAACCCTTGACGTGAAGTAAATAAATCAGATGTGGTGTTGTTGATAGTGTCAGCATGTGCTACCGTCACAATAGATTTCTATCGTAATACACTATAACTTAGTGTGAAGAGCATGTTAAATCTTAAAGTGACTTTGCTAGCAAGCAGTGTTGTGATCACGTGGGCTTTGCACGCTGGCTCTGGACGCTGCTGGCTAGAATAGCTGTAACGGAGTCTAGAGCACATCAGACTGCTTATATCGAAGATTTTAGCGCAGTCCGATATAGTTTTTTGGACTAATATCGGACCTATTTCCAATCAATATCGGATCGGGACATCCCTAGTTTGTTGTTGTTTGTTTTTTCTCACAAGGAAATTGTCTGATTCTGATACAGATTTTTTTGTCATTTTTAATCATATTAATTTGAATTGTATAATTGCAAAATACAACGTAAAAAGTATTATGATTGATCTTATTGAAATTATTTTGTGTACATTATTATGTGTACAAAACAAAAACAGTACACTGAAAAAAAAGGATGTCTGCAAACTTGTTGCAAACTATTTAAAGGGGTTGAATTTAGGCAAGCAAATAAAATTTTGTAATGTTCAACTTAATTTGTTTGTTTAAATTCAGCCAAACAAAATGAATTGTTTACATCCACTTCACTTTTAGTGCAAACATTTAGTAAATCCAAGGTATCATCTTTGTATTGATTTTTCAGTGTGGACAGGCTGAATAAAAAGGCATTTAACTGAGGTAATCTTTAAAGTAAAGGAGATTTAAACTTTTCTGAAAAGATTAGTGTCACTTGTGTTGAATGTGCACTTCTCCTAATGAGTTTTTGAAAAACAACCAAAATCAGTAGATGCTCAAATATTTAGAAAATTCAAACAATATTGAAAAGTTTCAAGAGTCGATGTTCCAAACAGAAGCTATAATAAAACACAAGCACTAAACATGCCTTCTAAAACATCAAACAATCACAGAAGTATCAACTAAACATTTGTTAAATTTGTTTAAGTGAATTCAGAATTCTTATGTATGTATTTATGTGAGTGCTCCATCATTCCTTTTTCACTTGAGCTTTAAAAGCCTCTGTTAACCCGGTGTGATTGGTCTTGGCTCATCCGTGGAGTGTAAGACACATTCAGTACATCATGTGATTAGCTGTTAAATTCAAAGCTGCTTTCCCATGACGGCTCGGCCTGAGCCTGGAGGTTATCATAAAATATCACTGTTTTCAAATAAATGTTACATTATATAGGGCTGCACGATATATCTTTTAACCTCGATATTGCAATGTATGCAAGGAGCAATGTATTCTGCAAATGGAAATTCATATATTTCAGCCACAACCCATCTCTGGAAAAAAAAGCATCCCCTGGTAGGTTGATAGGTGAATCACTTCCATTTAATTAACATATATACAGGCATCAGTTTTGCTTTTGTTTTGTTCACCTAGTAGGTTGAAGCAGAATTATTTAAGGGAAAGCACACATCTCTAGGGCCTAGTAAGTAAAAAGAAGATGATTATCAGGGTGATTTATTGTGGTTTCTGGCCTTCCAGTGGCAAGTCAAAAAGCACTGATGTATTAAAGTGGAACAGCAAATAAGCTAAGCTTGAGCCTGTTATGTGCCATAAAGCACTGGGTCAATATGAAAAAGAGCAGTCTGTGTAAACATATTCCAGATGATCAAGAGTGATATAATAAGATTGTTGCATTATTTTATATTATTATTATTTTTTTAATACATATGTCATTTTAGCTTGAAAACTCCAAGCCAAACCTTAAGCAGCACAAAAGTGTAGGCCAAATCAAGTTGTTGATTGATTTTTGTAAAATATAAAGATTCAAAATAATACATAATTAGTGTTTTGGTGCTGCACTGTCCTCAAAGTTTTATGTTATCTACTGATTCTTGTTCTAAATATACACAATGCTTTATTTTTGTTATAAAACTGTTGTCACAATGATAGACATTTTATTGTTAAAAGTGTTTTCACACACACACACACACACACACACACACACACACACACACACACGCACACACACACACAAATAATTAATCTAAAAAACAAGACAGAACATGACTTTAAGATTATCCTCAGTGCAGAAGTATACTCAACGTCACTAACTTGTTGATTTAGCAGTTGTCAAGGTGACAAGAACAAGACAAATGTCATGTTCAGAGATAACAGGAAACATATCTTATCAGTACAGGAAGCAAATCTTATCAAAGTGCACAGATTTCCAAGTCTCAAAGTAGGTGGGCTGTGATTTATTTCACATGACTGCTGTGTGCATCTCAGTGATGAGAGCAAGAGGAGAAATGTTAAAGGAAAAACTAAATTCAGTCGCTGTTTGATGCTTTATAGCTTTTATATTGAGGAGTATGAAAGCCTGCTTACAAATACAAATTACGTCCCACTTTGCATCTCACAATTCAGACCTTTTTTCTTGCAACTCTTTTTCTGAGTTCATTTTGTTTCTCACTTTTTTTTCTCACAGTTTAGATTTTTCCCTGAGAATTTTGTCATTATATCTTGCAAAAGTGACTTGCTAATTATTTATTACATATTTTCTTGTTGGCTAAGTCCTTTTATTTATACGTAGTCTCCACAGTGGAATGAACCTTCAACTTATCCAGCACGTTTTTACGCAGCAGATGCCCTTCCACCCGCAACCCATCTCTGGGAAACATCCACACATACATTCAAACACACACTCATTCACTACAGACAATTTGTCCTACCCAATTCACCTGTACCGCATGTCTTTGGATTGTGGGGGAAACAGGAGCACCCGGAGGAAACCCACAAGAACGCAGGGAGAACATGCAAACTCTACACAGAAACGCCAACTGAGCCGAGGCTCGAACCAGCGACCCAGCGAACTTCTTGATGTGAGGCGACAGCACTTCCTACTGCGCCACTGCGTCACCCTTTTATGACATATTTATAATATATCGGTCACACTTTACAATAAGGTTCATTAGTTAATGTTAATTAATGCATTTACTAACATGAACAAACAATGAACAATACATTTACTACTGTATTTGTTCATGATAGTTGACGTTAGTTAATGTAAATACAGTAGTTCATAGTTAGTTCATGTTAACTCATGGTGCATTAACTAATGTTAACAAGCATGGACTTGGATGTTAATAATGCATTAGTAAATGTTCAATTATGATTAATAAATGCTTTACATGTGTTGTTCATGATTAGTTTATGTTAGTAAATGCATTAACTAATGAACCTTATTGTAAAGTGTTACCAATATATCTATTTCTTTCAAATCTGAGTTTGTAAAACATCTCATAGACTTTCCTCAAATATAGGTGTTCAATTTATTCAAGTTTTTGTGAATTTATTTTGCACAATAGCAAATTTATTTATCTTGCAATCTTGAC